TTGGTAAGGTGGAGGGTCAGAGAAAAAGAGGAAGACCCTAAACGAGATGGATTGGCCAAATGGCAGCATCGATGGACTCATGTGTGGCAACAGTAGTGAGGATGGCCCAAGATCGGGCAGTGTTTCCTTCTGCTGTGCATAAGGGTCGCTATGAATCGGTACGGACGTGATGGCACCTAACAACAACAACAATGGGTTGGAATTGACTCAACTGCATTTCACAACAACAACAATCTGAACTAGGGTTTAGAGAGGTACATGAATTTGCGGAAATTCACACTGCCAGGAACCAAATTCTAGATTTCTTGACTCCTGGTGTGGCGCTGTGGGTTAATGCGCCAGACTGCAAAGCCGTTTGAACTGCAAGGTCGGCGGTGCAAGCTCACCAGATGCTCCTTGGAAACCCTATACAGGGTCACTATGGGTCTGATGCAACTCGACGGCACTTCACAACAAGAACTACATCCATCACATTATTGGAAGAGTTTTCCATTCTCCAATTTCTTCAAGTCATACATACCACAGCTAGGCTTTTTTAGGTTTCAAGTTTTATTGTAATTTCAGTTCAAGATTTCCTGATTTTGAAGCTAAAACCACCACACTAATTTTGTAAAGCTAAATCTACGTGGAGCAAAAATCCTTTCACATACACCTAACCATATGAATAATCCCTTTTAGAAAATCATAAACCCAATTGTCAAGTTGATCTGAGTCATAGAGAACCTATTGTTGTTATTATGTGCCTTGGAGTCGGTTCCGACTCATAGTGACCCTGTACAGGGTTTCTGAGGCTGTGAATCTCTACGGGAGCAGAAAGCCTCCTCTTTCTTCGGCGAAACAGCTGGTAGTTTCAAACTGCTAACCCTGAGGATAGCAGCCTGATTCGTAACCACTACGCTACCAGAGCTCCTTAGAGAACCTATAGACATAGGACTTCCAAGGCTGTGATACTTTTGGAAACAGACTGTCACATCCTTCTCCAGTGGAATGGCGGATTGATTTGAACCACCCAGTGGAGCTCTGGTAGCGTAGTGGTTACGAATCAGGCTGTGAGCTGCAAGATCAGCAGTTCGAAACTACCAGATGTTCCGCGGGAGAAAGATGAGACCTTCTGCTCCCGTAGAGATTCACAGCCTCGGAAATCCTGTACAGGGTCGCTATGAGTCTATGAGTCGGAACCGACTCCAAGGCACACAGTCACAACCACCACCAGTGGATTGCTTATCCAGGGCACCAGGCTTTGAAAGGTATTTTTCAGTGGCTAAGTCTGTTTTTTGCTGCATCTGGCGATGCTGCAATAACCTGTGAAGCCACAGCAGAACTTGAGTGGAACCAGTGTTCCCTCCCTCCAGGGCCCTCAGGACCCACTCTCTATTTTAACAGTGTTTCTTTCTCCCAGATTCAAGTTGATAAACAACTGATCAAAGACGGGGAAGCCAATAAGCTAGATGGTTACGTTCAGCTTCCAAACTAAATTTCAGGTCCTCTTTAAGAGAAGGGCAGCCTCTTGCTCAGGCATGCAAAAGCCTCTAAGAACCTGGGAGGTGACCTGCACCCTCCCAGCTTGTGCGGAGGAGATGCCGACAAGCAGTGCCATTAGTGAGTCACCCCAGGTGTGAGTGGGGCGGTCGATCCAACAGGTGTTGACCTTGGACTGTCTGCGCCCCGCAGGCTTCTCTTACAAAGGGCTTCACTGACCATGGAATTCTGAGATCCTGACCCTTTAACAGATGGAGAACCCTAGTCTCGGATGGAGTGCCGGGGTAGGTGTGATCGGAGAGGAAGCAGGTGCGGGGGGCCTCAGTTTCCACAAGTGCCGGAAGGAAAAGGACGTGGACCCAGCACCCTCCTGTCCCCTATGCCCGAATGAAGGCCGCCTGGTCTCCGCGCCATCCCGGGCTCCCTGTACCTACTTTCCCGAACCGCTCACGCCCATCACCAGCAGCGCGTAAGGCTTTCCCATGACCACCGAGTTCCTCCGCGCGCATTCACTGCCCTGCTGGGCCTTCCCGGAGTCCAGAGGGCGGAGCCGCCCAGTCTCCACCCACTTCCCCGCCTACTCCCGGCCCAGCACCCCCACCCCGCTCTCAGTCTCCGCCCAGTCTCCCCGCCAAGTCCTCTCAGGCACCGCCCAGACAGGAAGTGGGCGCCCGCCGCTGTGATCTCAGCACCCAGACCTTCGCCTTTTCAGTTAGTGAGTCTGGTCATTCTTTTCCTCCTCCCCTAATTGAAATAGCTGGTTTCTACTTTATTTATTTAATGCCATCGTAAAACGAATACACACAAAATAAAATAACACCTCATAACATTTGGCAATAACCATACATTTCCAAAATGATCTCCTTTCCTGTGGGTATGAATATTTTATGAAATTGGGAGCGTGCCGTTCACAATGCTTTACCATTTATTTAGTCACAATAATAAGCTGTTGATTTTTTTTTTGGTGTTATAGTAGCATATGGTGTTATTCTGTGGGAGAAAGATGAGGCTTTCTACTCCCATAAAGATTTACAGGAAACATGTGCAGGTCGCTATGAGTCGGAACCGATTCCACGGCACATAATAACAACAACATATGTTGTTGTTAAGTGCCATGGAGTCTGTTCCGATTCACATCGATCCTGTATAGGGTTTCCAAGGAGCGGCTCGTGGATTTGAACTACCGACCTTGCGGTTCAAAAAGACATGACAGTCGAGTGCTTATACTCTGCTGTGTAATGTTGGCCATAGTAGGATATAGCATTGTATGGTTTTGTCATGTAATCTAGTTTTTCTTGTTCCATAAATGGCTTAAGGGGAAGGAGCGCCTCTTTCAAACGGCTATTTACTTTAAAGTTACAAACTAATTAGTGTGGCACTTAAAACATATGATTTGGGAGTTTTTTAGCATTCCCAACAATCTTCTACCCCAACCCCCTTTCTTTAGCCTAAGTAAGAGTTTAATGTACCTGGAAAGATTGTACAGATGAAGAAATTGAGGCCTTCGACAAACAACTTGTCCAAGTCTTACAGTTCAATCATGGCTGTTAAACAGTTCTTGAACATCTGCCATCTGCAGGACTCCAAAGATGAATATTGTCCTCTACCCTCTTCCCATTTTTGCAGGGGATAGATGTGTAAGCAAATGCTGTAACTTGTGCTCTGCTTTACTAGTTTTGGGGGACGGTGAAGGGAAATGGGAAGGCATAAGTTCCAATTTCTTTTTCTTTAATAAACATTTTTCTGTGAATTGAGTGAAGTTTTACAGAGCAGGTCATCAGTTTTACATTCAGGAAACCATACAATTCATCTCAATGATCGTGATCCCCTCAGTGGAACATCACTTATCCCACTTCCTCCCTATGTTTCTGGTTTCCATTCCTCCTTCCTTCCCAACCCTTCTGAAAGTTGTCTTTGGTAAATGCCATCTGTCCTTTTGGTCTTGAATGGTTGATCATTGTATGGTGTGGGTGTTGTTGTTCATCTTTTATACCTATCTATTCCCTGGCTGAAAATTGACCCATGGAAGTGAGTTCAGTTCCAGACCTGAAGGATGACCAAGTCTTTGGAGTTCCACCAGTCTTTATCTGACCAGTAAGCTTGGTCTTTTTTTTTGTTGTTGTTTTGAAATTTGTTATACATTTTCTCCCATTCTATTCAAGACCTTCTAATGTGATTCCTTTCAGAGCAATTGGTAGTGGTAGCTGGGCTGATAGTGGTAGCTGGGCACCATCTAGATCTTCTGGTCTCAGGCTCTTGGAGATTGATGTTCATGTAGTCCATTAGACTAATTGCTTCTAAGTGTCTTCAATTTTCATGACTCTTTCCTCCAGACAGGGAGAGACCAGTAGATTTACCTTCAATGGCTGCTCATGAGCTTTTAGGCCCCAAGTTGCTACTCACCAAAGTAGGATGTAGAACATTGTCTTTTGTGGACCATGTTATACCAATTGATCATGGTGTCCCTGAGACCATGGTCCTGAGCCCCCAGGCCCAGCAATTCATTTCCTCAAGGTGTTTGGTAATGTCGATCTCATTTCTTTTAACGTTCAAATCAAAGCAATTAGAAGGAAATAGGGTTCTTCCCAAAATTTCCTCTCAAGATATGTCCAAACTAAACTTATTTTATTACTGTACAGTCAATCCTGACTTATTGCAACCCTACAGGACAGAGAAGAACTGTTTTCTATATTTTGGGGATCTTACATTGGAAGCACAGATATTTATTATGGTATGTCATCTTATTCAATTGATCTTTTAATCATGAGATAATGTCCTTCTTTATGCATTATGCTGGCTTGTACCTTAAAGTTTATTTTATCAGAGATTAGTATGGCCACTCTTGCTCGTTTTTTATTGCAATTAGCTTGGTATATTTTTTTCCATCCTTTAATTTTTAATCTGTTTTTGTCTTTATGTGTAAGGTGTGTCTCTTGCAGACAGCATATTGAAGGGGCTTTTTTTCTTATCCATACTGCCACTCTCTGTCTCTCTATCTCTTTTTTTTTTTTTTTTTAATGCTTTATTGTGAATTATGTGATAGTTTACATGGGAGAACATTTAGTTTTACATCCATCCTATCGTATATTGTATCATTGCCATAGTTACAATCCCCTCCATTTATCATCAACCAACCAAAGGGTATATCTTGCAAGCCTGACCCCTGGTCATCAGCACACAGCCCCTCTCCCCTCTCCCTCTCTGGGTCGATAGTCCCTAGTCACTCCATCTCTCCATGTCATTATCTCTGCCTCCATCTCTGGCATCACTGCTTCTCTGGGTAGGGTCCCACTCTCTGCTCTTCTCCCTTGATGGTCC